ATCTTAGACACAGCATTGATAAGAAATAATGGAAATATTAATTTTCATTATAAGTTTAAATTGCTTGTTTATTTGTTGGGTCCCCCGGTGGGTTAGCAGTAAGTTTACGAACTTTTAATGTTAAAATTCGGGGTTCAATTCCCTGCGGATGGCCCATTTTGTAGCTTTACAGTAAGAAAACAACTTTGTTAAATTTTGCACAAAACCACACACAAGAGCTATGTGCACTAGCCGTCTCTATTTTTTAAGTTATAGACTAGAGGGAAGACAGCTAGTCAACACCACCCACTGCCAACTCTTGAGATACTCTTGTCAGACTGAACAGTGGGATTTTATATTCACTTTTATAACGCCCCCAAAGTGCGAAGCGCGATTACTTTTGGCGGTAAAGGGATGAGAACAACGAAACCTCAGCTCTACAGTCCGGCACGCTAACCACCAGACTGCGCTCGATCCTGCAATTTAGAAAGTGAAATAATTACAGTAATTATCATAAAACATTTAACGAACAGAATAGTACGTGAAGGCTCGATGTTTTCTTACTTTCAACCTAACAAGTTTTTCCACGTATTTCTTTGAGTATGTTGACGTGCAGTTGGCGCAATATTAATTAAAGGCGAATATTGTAATGGAAATATTTTAGCACTAAAATTATACACTAAGTAGACAGGTTATTATTTTAATTTTAACAAGCTGCTTGAAGCACGAGAATAATAACATTTTTACTTTCAGAACAATTTGTATAATTACTAAATTAATTCCACTAACCTGACAAGAAAACATTCGGCAGGGATCAATTGAGTCAGTCCACGTAGATCCACTCTCGTAGCTAGTACCATTAACAGAACATCCTACGTCAAAAAAGATTTACTTTGGTTTCAGATATCGGCACTAAAGATGATACGTGTAATATTAATAACACGGTCTTTTCTCTCTCTCTCTCTCTTTTTGCTAGGTTTCTAGGCTATAGAGTTTTAAGATCAAATTAATTTTCTTTTTGGTCGCATGTTGTAAAATTAATGATATCCGGTTTATACATGTTTATTTATATACTGCATATTCTGTGACCTATTTGACATTCACGGTTAGAAATAGATTTATTAATGTTTTCTTTACCAGTTTCTAGCGGAGTTGTTGTTCAAGGCTGTCTTTATATTGGCTACCTTCATTGGTTTAGGATTTAACTAAATCAGACGAAAGCAAAAGGTGAAAAATGTAATCCTGTTAATAATGTTTTAATGTCATTTTTTTGCCTCATCATTAGATACACAAATCTAACTTTTAACTCTTTCGTACACTAGAAATTGGTGAAAGGTACACCAAGAAACCCTGAAATAAATATATAATGTCCTGATAGGAGTATTGAGTAATTAAATGGTATCCTGTAGTTGGTTGTCTCTTGAAACCATTACAGTATCCAGCAATGAAAAAGACTCTTTACAAGTATTACTAATTACAAGTACTACTTACTAATTACAAGTACTACTTACTAATTACAAGTACTACTAATTAGAAGTGCTTCTAATTACAAGTACTACTTACTAATTACAAGTTCTATTAATTACAAGTACTACTAATTAGAAGTGCTTCTAATTAGAAGTACTACTAATTAGAAGTACTTCTAATTGCAAGTATTACTGATTACAAGTACTGCTAATATGATAAAGAAAACGTTCACTCACCCTTACAAACATCACAGCAGCTCTCCCTCTGGCCATGAAGTAAAAAATAACAGTATTTTTTTTGGCGGTGTGGACATTTTTCATTACATACCACCCTCCTGTTCTGTTGAAAGATGCAAAGGAAGATATCAGTAAACAAAACCAACAGCTGGAAAAATAAATAGCTTCATAGGATGGAACTGTAAATATAAACCAGTGATTAGAAAAATTCATACAGGTCATTAATTGCTTAAAACAGTAAGTGAAACAGGTAGAACGATATAAATAGGAAAATCAAACTGGTAATAATAAACATAACTCCAAGATAAGAAGGTTAACACAAGTTATCAGTTAGAAAGTGAACAAAAGCGGAAATCTTTAACAAGCAAGGAAATACACACCAGAAACTGGATAGAAAAAACAAAACAAACATGCACAGAACTTTAGCTGAAGCAAAGAGTACAACAGATGGAGCAGAAAAATTTCAATCAACGACGACAACAAAAAGTTTAATGAATATAAACAACAATTAGTATAAGAAATATAGAATAATAACTCGGTCAATAAATAAAAACAGCAGAAAGAAAAGAGCACATAAAATATTAGCTCGAAGACTAAAATAAAATTGCAGGAACTGCTGATAAAAATCTATAACAGGAGCAGTAAATACAAACCAACAGCTGGAACAATAACTACAGAGAAAAGCTGGAATAATAAATACAATCAGTTTCTGAAACAGTAACATTCAGACGCTAACTGACGTGTTGATTCCTTTATCCGCGTTTGATTATTTAAGTTATTTCCACTGGTCTATAATGTTAGATGTCCACTACTGCAAATACTTATAAGTTTATTCTTGTTTAATTTATTTGTAAACTGTGTAGAGCATCATAATGTGACGGTCAATCCCATTATTCGTTGGTAAAAGAGGGTTGGCGGTGGGTGGTGATGGCCAGCTGCCTTCCCTCTAGTCTTTCACTGCTAACTTAACTCTCGTGTAGCTTTGCGCGAAATTCAAACCAAATCAAATCAAACTGATTCACGACAAATACTGAACCCGACCCTCACTGGTCCAAATTATGAACCGAATCCCGATGAAGATGATGATGACGACAAATATTAATATAAGAAGATATGGCTGTGGGGGGCAGTTGTACAGGGGAAAATTGTCTAGGGGGCAGTTGTCCTACAACCATCTCACGGCTGAAAGGGCGATCATGTTTGGAACTCACGACCCTCAGAATGCTAGTCGATTGCACTAAACACTTGGCCATGCCGGCTCGTGAATCAGATGATTGCTGGAGACTGCCCACCGCCACAGCGGAAGCGGTATCTAGAATCAACTGCCAGGATAACAAACATTGCAGAAGATTTTCAAAAATCGCAATTTATTGGAGCTTTTTGAGAGGAATAGCTCATAACATACAGTCCCAGTGTGCTTACGTTATATAACTTTGTATAGTCCGACACTGTTATTTTATTACAATAAACAAAATTTAACATGAAACCTGTGTTATTTTCTCCTACTTAAACAGTTTTATATAATTCATTCTTCTAGGAAAAACAATAAATAAGTTTTTTTTTCTATTTTAGTCAGTTTTATTAATATAATAAGATCTGGCTGCGGGGGGCGGTTGTCAGGTTACCTTTGTGGATATAGATAGAAAACTGGTTTATTATAATAACTAATTTATATGTTGCATAATTAATTTCATCACGTTCCATTTGTTATAATGTTTAAAATATAACTTGAATCATTTTCGGATTTATAATTACATTTATAAAGGTTATTTTACTTTGTTATTTAAAATATGGATATCCAAGACTGGTCGAACCTCGATATTACAGGGCTTTTGGCCGAAAATATTATTAGCAGCGAAGGTATCCAACTGATGATTCAAAGCAATTTGAACATTATAGTGTTTATTTAAAACAATAGGCTTTCAAGTTTTTTAAAAAAAATATTCGAAAACATAGAGCTTACTACCCGTACTTTAGGATGTTGTTGTTTGTAATTAAGCACAAAGCTACACAATGGGCTATCTGTGCTCTGCCCACCACGGGTATCGAAACTCGGATTCTAGCGTTGTAAGTCCGCAGACATACCGCTGAGCCACTGGGGGGGCGTACTTTAGGACAATAAAATCAAGGTAAAATCATGTCCGACACTAGTAACACATACGTGATTATTCATCATGAATGACACAAGTGTTTCACACTTGATTTTTGTCGTGTTTGACAGAAATAGCTGACGCACGTAGTTGTTTGTCAAGTTCTACTCTGGCCCTAAAAGGGACTGTTAATTACTACCTAAGTTATCCCCCACATATGATCACTCATCATGACTGATATTTCGCCCCCTCGCTCCTATACGTCACTGTGTGTAGTCTTTACTAACCCTTGTGTGATTGTATAGAATTAAGTCCTATACTACCTACATATGCACAACTGTTCATGACAAATGAATGACGCTCCCAACTGCACCAGTGGCTCAGCGGTAAGTCAGCAGGCTTATGATGCTAAAAATCAAATTTCGATACCCATGGTGGATAGATATTCCATTGTATAGCTTTGTGTTTAAAAACAACATGAATGAATTATGTATTTATATAGCATAAATCATATCAAAACTCCAATGCCATCCAAACACTAAATATGTATCACCAGAATAAAGTTGTTTAAAACACATTTAATATTCAGTTAATAAACAGCAACAGTTATCAAAATTACTTACATCTTGTATCGACATAAAACAACAGTAAACTACTATAATATGGCTAATTTCTACAGTGTCTCTTTGGAACTAGCGAAGGCTAGTAGAGAAACACCAGAGGACAACAGATCTCAAAAGCTGAGCTACCCGTCCTTTGTCCGGGTTATGAACTTCAAAAAATGTGGGGGTGGATGCTATAATATGGCTAATTTCTACAGCGTCTCTTTGGAACTAGCGAAGGCTAGTAGAGGAACACCAGAGGACAACAGATCTCAAAAGCTGAGGTATCCGTCCTTTGTCCGGGTTATGAACTTCAAAAAATGTGGGGGTGGATGCTATGATGAATAACATAAAAATCTTAATTTTCACACAATCTATTTATAACATAACATATTATTACAGTATTCATTATTACCTCACCAAAACTTTTGTATAAACTTTAAGAACTCAATATTTATAAACGTAAAACATGCTATATATACACTGTGAGATGGTCAGGGCGACTCTGTATTAAGAGGTAGAGGCAAGAGTAGTGGAGGTAGAGGTGCTTTCTGTTATCTGCTTTCAATAACCAGTTGTTAATGTCCTTCCACAGTGTTTCAGGTGATTAATTAATTGACGGTCATTGGCCGCAGAAGTGTCTTATGGGCCGAAGTTAAAACATCACGGTTCAAAGTAGGAAGTGGGTATGACTCAAGTAATGACTCTTCATACCAACCTTATGGTGGCAGTTGGAGTAGAAACTTCAGCTGAGTTTATGTATTATTACAATAGTGGCGGCCATTTTTTTCATTGCATTCCTTCATAGAGCGCTAGTGCATTCTCTGAGATATATAAGATGTTTGTGTGCCCTCCCCCACACTTTGTGTATGTTGTTATAAAAAAAAATAATTATTTATGTAAGGACGTGGCGCCATCTATGAACGTAGTTAATGTCAACTTACGTCAAAGATAAGAAATGCTCAATAACAGCAATAATGGTAGGTAGATGGGGTTGCTAACCCACCATTAACATTACCCTTGTTCCAAACTATCATCCCATAAGGTTTAGTGGAGATTGACCCAGCGACCTAGAAGCAGTTAGATAACGGACAAACAGACATACAGGTTTTATGCTTTATGTATACAGATATCATATTCTATAATTAATCCAAAATGGCTGCTTAATAAAATTCTCAGCGTTCTTGATTATTTACGTCCTCTAAAATGATATAGAGCAACAAACTGAGCCAAGATGTAAGAACCCCAATCTCGTGTATATAGTCAGCGTAATGACCAGCTGTATAATGTATTACGGAGCTCGAAGTTCGCTAAATTGGAATGTTTGGAGATTCAAGGCTCAAGAAATCATAACTTTGAATAACTTTGAATTAAACCATCGTGTTTTTGCATCACCTTGAACTGAGATATAATAGAACTCAGGAACTTTCTATGCAAAAATCCTTTTAAAAGCTTAGAACTTAATGGAAGCACAACTTTAAGGTTCCTAACTTGAGAAATTTATATGTATGGGCGTGTACGTATGGGTCTGTGTATATATACAAATAAATGACCCAGCTGTCCCCTAAACAAAATTACACCTGGTAGTAGGGGGGGGGAGTGTGATCCTTATAATATTATAAGAGTTGTTTTGCCTTGTCATGTTTTGATATTGAAAATGTTAATTATTGTTTAATCGTTTTGTGCAGTGCATACAGGTGCAACTAAATCCTAAGGTTATAAAATAACGTGAATTATCCCTTCGGTTCGCTTTTATGCACGTCAGACAAGTAGTTATTCTTGTGTGATGTGGAATGAAAACGAGAGAGGCACTCAAAGAGTGCCGCCTCAATCCCACAATGTTTTTAACTCTTGCAATAAGTAAGAAAATATACACAAAACAATTCATTATCTTCAGAAATGTAGGTCCAGGTGACAATATAATCTTTCTATATAAATTTGTTTGCGACTTTTGTCAGTTTTTTCAAAATCCCAGTTTGCTACTATTATTTAAAAAATTGTTTGACCTTCTGTATGACCTATGCCTTTGAGCTACATTCACCAAAAGTTCATCAATTTACCGATTTGGGACACTCAACCTTTTTACAAAACTTTATCAAAATCAGATGAAAACTTTTCGACTTATACTCACACACAGAGTAAAGAGTGAAAACGTGATCCCCATAGCTGAGTCGGAGTAATGAATGGTCATTCAGCTTGCTCTCATAAATGAACATCTATTAAAGGGGGCTTTACGTCTTTATAGATAATATTTCACTCAACAGGATTGGAGTCCTTTGAGTATGCACATCACTTTATTCTGTTTATCCTCTCTCCTTGAAGGACTACGTTACCAGTTTAGCACGATTGAGGCAAGGGCTATCATCCATTAGGTTCAGTTGCACCATCATATGGCAGCATGAAGAGCCGGA